TTTCTCTGGGGGCAGGCCGGGGCTTGCTCTGGCGCCGGCATCTCCTTGGTGAGGGAGCCACGGGACCCTCGGCTGTTTGGGGGGGGGGGGGGGGCTTTCCACTCGACATCCAAATGTCCTTCGTTGGGTTCATCGGGATAAATCGGGATCATGGTGTGTGTTTTTGTTGTGTTCTTGTTCGGTGGGGGAAGGTACATGGGGGGGGGGTACCCTCTTTTGGGAAACCCCTCCTTGTTTTGACATCCCTGACAAGCCCTAGATTTTTGAAATCCCAGCTTTTTCCCTTTGAACTAGTTTAGTTGACTTGACTAGCCGAAGTGAAAATCAACTAGCATCGACAACAGATTCTTCACCGGTTTGTTCCGTTGAGGTCCCTCTTCCAGAAGCTTCAGCGCCTGGCATGGCAAGTTGGACGCGAGATTCTCAGCGAAGGTTTGGTGTTATCACGCGTGGGAAAGCTGGACGTGCTTCAAGGAGTCCAATCAGAGGGTCATCCGTGCGGACCGATGATGCGACTGTATGCGAGTGCATCAGACTTGCGCCATGCACTGAAGCTGAGATGTGGAAGTCTTGCCACGGACAGGACGCAGAGCGCACGCGTTCTGACATGGAGTTCTTTCGACAGCCTGCGCTCCGCGACAAGATGGAGGACAGTTTTTCCAGACTCAGATTGTGGAAAAAAACGGTTGGTGATGCTCGCGGCATGCCATGTTTCTCCGTTTCCGGCCGTTCTGTCTTGAGGCGATGCTAACTTGCTGGTGCCAAGAGCGCCAGGTCAAGTACAAGCAGGGTCTGAACGAGGCCCGCGAATCTTCGGTGTCTAATGTGACAGCATGTGAGCATGGGCATAGAGGCAGCGTGCTTGTGATGAGTGCAGGTTCTTGCCCCATTTCTGTATTTGCAGACTTGCTGGCCTGCTTATGCATGTTTGATTGCTTGATGTGCTGAACTGAATTAGCTGGCGTGATGCGGCTAGGGCGCCAGAGCACCAAGACTTGCATGAGACGCCCAGTGACGACGAGGACCCCAAGAGCACCTTCATGCTCTCACAAAGCCTGACGTGTTTCAACTTCAGCATGTGTCCTTCCGACCAGGTCTTTGAGCTCTTCGTTACGTTTGTGCGGGACTACACGCCGTGCCTTGCTTGTGTTCTCCAAGCGTAGCGATTGGACGTAGAACTCATCGTCCACACTGTTGATGGCTACCGTTGTTTCGATCGTCGACTCCAGAGGTTCTTCTCTTCTGAGGAGTTCGTGTCACTGGATCGCAGTTTGTTTAAATGGCAAGAGCACGAGTCTTGTCCTGGGAAGCATCAGAACTGCGCCAAGATTCAATGACTGTCGAGGCCTTTGCAGTGTGCCTTCATCTTTTTCCGACGCCTCCTCCTGTACCATCGCTGTCACCTCAGCTGCTATACATGCCGCAATAACACCGCAATAAAGAGACAGAAGCAGAGCGACGGCCTGTGCCAACATCCAGTTGTGCCTGGCACCTTGCGCCGTTTTTGCGCAGGGCCGGATCTGCACAATCTCTTCGTAGAGAAGGATGTGTGCGGTCCCGAGACTCCCCGAGCATGGGCCACTGTCAGCCCTCTGAAAACTCCGGGGGGTTCGATGATCGAGATTCGCCCAAGGACCCCGGACATGCTGGCTGCTTAGTCGGATTGCCGGTGAGAGCCCTCATCCTGCCGAGTTGTTTGCCCATTGAGGTTCTGCATGCCCTGGTTTCTGACACTCTTTGCCAGCAAGACGCCCATGAGGCCTGCAGAGACGTGCAAAATCTTACAGGGTCTGAAGAAAGTAGTTTCTTCCTGCCAATCCTTTTTCCTCCATCTTGCCATCTTTTTCCAGAGCCTCTTCAGGCTGGCCATCCAGCTCTGGGACCGGCTCCTCGAACGAGGCGAGCCGCACTTCATCATCTTCCTCGCTGCTGCTGCTGCGGGCTTGGGGGCGTGCTGGCTCCTTGATAGCTCACACTTGGCTCCTTGTGTGGCAAGCCCAGTGAAGTCATGCGAAGTCTATAAGGTCCTGGCCTTGGCGGAGAAGGCTCGCAGAATCTCGCAGAAGCAAAGGGGCTTGGGTCTTGTCAAAGTGTGCAAAAGAGTGGGGAAATTGCGAAAATTGCCGGAACACCTGCCTCGAGAATTTTTCGAGTCACGTCCAGTGTTTCAGAGCTCCGGTGCGGAGGAGATCCTGACTGCAGACCGGAGTGCTCTGCCAGAGATTCTAACCTCTTTGGGCATTGACCTGAGAACTAGACCATGCACACGTTGCCCGTCCAGCAGTGCAGTTGTGGTCACACGGTCAGTGATGCGCTCAGGTGTCAATTCCCGTGAAGATCTGGAGAGCACTCCCGGCATGAGCAGTGGCCGATGCAGGGTCATGTGGGCGCGTGTCGCGGGGCGCGCGTGTCGCGGGGCGCGCGTGTCGCCTGCGCGATTCAGAAATTGGCCAGGGTTCAGGAAACCAGGACTCAGGAAACCAGGCGAATGTTGAGGAATCTGAGGGGTGGGGGGGGTGGGGTGGGGGATGATATCGTTCATGTCAAGCCTGCTGTCAGTTTCCCGAGCGGTTTCCGAATCTGCTCTTTTTCTGAATGAACGGTTTTCAGTTTCCAGTTTCCCGAATCCTCGGTTTCCGAATTCGCGATTCCCGCATCCTGGTTTCCCGAATCCGCGCTGAATCCGTGTTATCCAGTTTCCCGAATCAGGTTTTTCCAGTTTCCGAATCCGTGCATTTTCAATGTCGGAATCCGCCGCTGACCCTAGATAGTCTTCTCATGCTTGCTCCTATAGGGGTCGTTCTGCCCTGTTCTGCTCAACTGGACAAGACTTTAGCCTCCTAGCAGTAGCATAAATAGCGAATGCTGAGAGCTGATGGGTTTCTTGGTATTTCTTGGTGGCAGGCTTGTGGAGCTGTGCAGGAGCCACAGCTTTCATCGCTTCCGTCGTTTCTGCCCCTAACGACATGCATCAAATACCCAGGGTACTCAGACGATGTCGAAATCAATTCAGGTAGTTGCTGCGTGAATAGGTCCATTGCAGAGACGTAGCATCCGAGGCGGAAGGCTTGTTCATGCAGACCCCTGCGACCTTCGTGAAGCGTGTCAGGCTTGTTGTGCAACCCTAAGCCTTACACCCTAAACCCTAAACCCTAAACCCCGAACCCTGAACCCTAAACCCTAAACCCCTGTACCCCTATCAATTGTTTCTTTCCTGACCTGTGGTTCAGGCGGGTGGTGCTGAAGGCCGACGAGACAAAGGCAGCCCAAGAACAGGGCGTTGGGGTTCAGGGTTTAGGGTTTTGGGGTTCAGGGTTTAGGGTTTTAGGGTTCAGGGTTTTTGGGTTTGGGATTTGGGGTTCAGGGTTAGGGTTCAGGGTTTTGGGTTTGAGGTTTTGTCGGCCCCCTCGAGCTTTGGAGCGAGGAGGCCTGGTTCTTAGATTCTCGGCCCCAGGTGGCACAGGATGGCCAGAAGCTCCTGGAGAGCGTGGAGAAGGTCCGTCGTGCCGTCGCTTTGCTGATGGCCCAGATGCGATCGCTCCTTCAGGAGGGGTGCTTCTTCATACTGCCCGATGAGGTGGTGGGTTGGGGTCTCGGCAGGTTTTTGCCCTGGGAAGAGCTGCAGCTGCTGAGCTTCACACTTTGGCGAGGTCATTGCTATCCTCCGAGACCGGGTCAGGCGAAGAGCCCTGCCTGCCCCTCCCGACACCAAACTCCTGTGCAAGTGCTGCGAAGTATTTCCACTACATGAACACACGCTTGGATGGGCTCGATACTCCTGTCATTTCTTCGCATCTCTTGGCCTCATCAGGAGCTCAAGCCGTGGCAGCCTTCCCCGTATTGCCACTGAGCTTCGAAAGATTTGGGAGGGTCCTGTGCCGTTCTACTTGTGCACTGACCCAGGCCCCTGGCGCCTGCTGGTGCTGGACCTCCGTCCCGTCGCAGAGTTCGAGGCAAACTGCACTTGGGGGCTTCTTGGGGGCTTGGGGCATGGCCGCGGGGGATTCAGACTCAAGGAGTGATCTCCTGTGCAAAAGCAAAAGGCGGAGCGGCTTCCAGCAGCAGTTCACCTTGATCCGGCATCGATGTTTCCGCAGGCGTAGATTGCGTCGATGTCATGGCAAGGGCCTGCCGCGATCTGCCCTTCTCGTCGCAGCTTGCGTCCTTCTTGCCAGGCGGCTTGGAATTCCGGCAGGCCCAGGGGATGTTTGGGGGACAGAAGGGACCGAAGGGAGGGAAGAGGTGAGGCAGAGGCGAGGCAGAGGTGAGGCAGAGGTCCTGCGGCATGGGCCCTCTGGTCCCCAGGAAGCTCCTGCAGTGGGGCCAGGACAAATCAGGACCGGTTGTGCTGGAGCTGCTTGGGCCGCACCACGTTCGAATCTAAAGCCTCGCGCTGCGGCGTCGCATGGTGTGAGGCCATCGCAGGTCTTCGAGACCCTCAAGGCGACCCTCGGCGAAGACTGGATCTGTGACAGTCAGGCAACGTGGACCCCTTGACACGCACGCACTGCAATCTGCTATCTGTTGTCTGTGTTTTGTGTGTGTGTGTGTCTCTGTGTGTACACCTTGTTGCGAATGCTAAGGGTTAATCGTTGTGGCGCAAATTCCCTGTCGCTAGGTAGAAACACAGACTGAAGGCCCCCCAACCAAGCCGGCTGCACGTACCGACGAACCGGGACGGGACGCCATCCCGCGTACCTGCGATCCTTGTCGTGCTGCCCAGGGACAATGAAAATCCTTTGAGTGCATGAGCGACCAAGCAAGTGGCCCCCAGAAACAAGTTGGAGATTGGTTCGTATCTGGTATCAGGTTCGCCTTTCGACGGCTTTAAGTCGACTAGCGGGTTAGTTTGGATTACCCGACCCCAGGGATGACTCTAAGCCCACGGTTTCAACGACCTGGCTCAAGCCTGGGTTCTTGTAGGGCCAGTTTCTGAAAGTTTGAACATTTTTCTACTCTAGTGACGGCATTCGCCTTGCACCACCGCAGATTGCAACCGCACAGCTGGCCTGTAAACCGATGCATCTCAACGCAAATGCTTATGTACGGCGATGTAATCCAACACAAAGATCTATGTAAATCGATGCATCTCATCGCAAAGATCTTCCCATGTCGATGCCGCTCAACGCACAGGTCTTGAAACATCGATGCATCTCGTGTCTATGTAAAGGCATTGTCAAAGCAAAGGTTTATGTCGACCGAGTCGTTCCCCTGCAAATACACATTCATATCCAAAATGCTTAGCTTCCCGAAAACTCCGCTGTGCCGTAAATGATCGTGAGGTTTTGGGCTTAGGCCTGAAGGCTTGGGGATACGGGGCAAGGTTTAGGGTTTGGAGTTTCGTGTTTAGGGTTCCGAGTAGGGTTTAAGGGCGCAAGGAACAACCAAACCCAACCGGCTTAAAACTTGGTTTCAAGCTTACCAAGGTGTTGGCCCTTGGAGCCTTCCAACCAGTTCTAAGCCCCCGGACCTTAGAGACCATCCCAAGCGACCGAGCTCTCAGCTTAAAACCGGTTTAAAGCCGATTCTGACTTCAAATAGCAGACGAGCCCGCAGAGTTGTCACTGAGGCAATAGGCCGTTGATATCAGTCGGAAGACTTCGTGGTTTGTCAGCTTGTCCCGCCCAACTTTGTCACGAAAGCTAGCCTCTGAGGGCTGGCGGAGTATCTTACTTAAGCGAAGCTTACAACCTGAAGGGTATACAGGGGCCCCCGGAGGCTCCGCCACGAAACGCAGCAAACCCGGTCGAGTTCCGGTCTCGAAACACAGGTTTTGGGGAAACGGGCTGGCGTTCATTTCCTTCGTATATTGGGTGCAAATCAACGCCGTTTTTTGTGGATCCCAGGTCACAAAAAAGCCCTCAAAGAAAAGACTCAGAAGCCTTGATGTTGACTTGAGTCCGACGTCCCTCAAAGCTGGATTGGACAGACTTCGCCTGGTGAGTGCAACATCTGTTGTGGTGTCATGCGCTTCAAAAAAGAGCCCTCCGGAAGATGCTAAAACACCGCAGAGCAAAGCAACACACCAACACAGCCTGCTGCCTTTGCGTGTGCTTGTCCTGCTGCGTAGTTGATGCCATGTTGACGGAAGCTCTTCCGTGGGGGTACCTGAACATACCTTGACTAGCTTTCGTCCCAGGCCCTCACCCCCAAGTTTCATGCCCTCGCCACCGCAACAGTTGCAAAAGCTCCGCCGGACCACCGAGTAGCTGTTCACGCATGTCAACCGTTTCCTGCCTGGGCTGATTTGAGCTTGGCGCCGCTGGCCACAGATTTGTTTCCCCACCAACGAAACTGGTTGCAGTTACCGCGGAAGCGGGATGGGACGTCATCCCATGTACACTTGATTGCAGTAAGTCATGGTAAGATTCATGAAGCCTTCGAAGGTCCATGTGTGGGCGTGTGGGTTAGTCTGTTTGTATTTTGTGTTTGTAGGTGCGTATGCGTGTGTATGCAGGCTCACATTTGCCTACTTGGACGCTCAGAAGATTCTGCGCTGCTACAGCATTTGTACAAGGCAGGGCTCTCACATCGGTTTGCTTGCAAATTGTGCAGAATGCCGACATTCCCTTGGGGCCCACCGTGGGCGCGGCAAGGTCTTGACCAGAGACCTGACGTTGAGACACATTTCTGTCGCCAGTGGTGGCTTCCAGGCTGGCATTCTTTCTAATTCCAACAGCTCAAGCATGCTCGAACTCTACAATGTGCTCTTGGCAGTCCATGTTGCCAGGCTGTTATCAAGTGTGCTGCGAAGCACGGCTACGAGATCGTTCGGAGCGAGTCGGGTGTCGGCGGAACTCTAGACAGGCGCTGCGCACACGGTGGCTACCCAAAACAAGAATCTCAAAACCTTAAACCCAAAACCCCATGCCTATTCGAGTTTGAGAGCCCTGTCAGGCAGGCAATTCCTGCGGCGGCGGCAGCTGCAGAAGGCCACGTTATCGTTAGGGTCGGTAGGTTTTATAAGTCACTTTAAAATGTGTGGTTTAGGGTTTGATCAGGTTAACATGGTTAGGTGAAATGCAGTCGGCTCCATGTGGACAATAACTCCTTGAGGCGTGTGCCCAGTATGGCCATCCTGTGTAATGAGGTCTTCGAGCAGTAGTCCTCAAGAGATGCCTCCGACCAGAGAGAGCGAGATAGATAGATTAGATAGATGGATGGATGGATATATAGATAGATAGATATATATATATATGTATATGTATATATTTATATGTACACATGTCTGTGACCCCCCCCCGCCCCGATGTCCTTCAGAGTAGGTGGCGAGCCCCAGGTCTTGAAGGTTTAGGCTCTGTGCGGTATCTCATATGAGATGGTGCTTTGAAATCAAAGGTATGTCTAGTAATGTTGTCATCATGATTTCCGTCTTCAGGGGCAGCGGCAGCTGCCGCTGCAGCAGCAGAGAGTGCAGCGACCAAGCTGTCGGCCGTGCTGCCGTGTGCTTGGTTTCTCACGTGATGGGCCCTCTAACTCCCCATGTACCCCAAAA